AAGAAAGATCAGACTTGCAGACACTTTTGTTAACTACAAACGTGGTTGGGATTACCTGTAAATTAATCCTGTTCAGGTGCTGTTTCTAACGAGAGACATTAGCATCATATTTATGCTGTGTGAAAAGCATTTTTCATCCTCTTTATATTCTTTCATGATTCCTCTACTTTGTAAAATACCTGCAGACCTTCCCTTTTTCCACTGAGGCACAGGCAGGAGTCCAACCTGCTCATTTCTAAAGAGACAGCCGTGCGCATCTGAAGGTAGAGCCTTTGAAAGTCTGCCCTGTTTTGTTGTCAGAATCTCGCATCAAGACAAATAATTAGCTATGTTGTCAGGATGCTTTATATAGTAGCAGATTTACTGTTAAAAGCAATGATTACCTCGTCCTTTGATAAGTAGTTTTCCTTTTGGTTGTACTTCTGTATGCAGATCTTTTAATTTTTCATTTTCAGATAGCAGATTCTCCTTTGCCTGACCTGGATACTACCCTTCGACACTTTTCACAAGTGGATGCCAAACAATTTTAAGACAAGGGATTTTTGGTTTTATTTTTCCCTTCTTGTCTAGAATAGTGGAGTGACTCTGGGGAGGAAACAAATGTAGAATGAGATGTAAGTGCCTTAAATAAAACATGTAATTAAGGGATTATTTCTGTTTCTTGAAGTACTTCAAATCTGTGTGGATTTGTCAAAAGTGGCGTATAAATCAGTTGTAGCTGGTTCACCCTAAAATTTGCTACATATTAATTTTAAAGATTTTCAAATTTAGGGGCAGGAATTTTTCAGGTCAATGTAGTTTGCAATATGTCAAAATGCAAGAGAAGGACATTTTCATTCCATTTGCAACTACGAAGATATAAACCTCTTTATGTTGTAGGATGCCACTGTTCAAAACAAAGATTCTGCCAAGAAGTGTTTGAAATTTTTTGATGGAGTATTTTTCAAATATATTTGTAGCCATGGAGATGCTCTTCGTGAAAATCTCAGTTTTGACAGGAAAAAATGCAGGTGAAGTATTTTGAAAGACTGACATTCCTGCGCTAGAAATGTTCATGTTTGCATTCCAAAAGAGTGTTACAAATAATAATTGTTATGAAAGTAATGTCCACCTCATGTATAAAATTGTGTATTACTCTACTTACCGAGAGGGTTATTGAACAGAATATTCATCTGACTTGGTGAACTGGAATATCCATTCAGCAGATATCAGTCAGCATACAAATAATAATTGAAATTATATCAGTCAACCAGTTACTATGTTACAATTTTTAAGAATTATTAAAATAAAAATAAGTGTAATTATGTGAAAAGTCTGACTCTCCAGTCAAGCAGCTGAAGTTGTAGTCACAAGCCAACCAGGAATTGTTTGCAATCTGCAGACCGAGGCTCATTTGTAGTCATTGTGTAGAGAATTATTTGAAACAACAGATATATTTAAGGAAAATTCAAAAATTTCCCAAGTAGCTCATGAACAACAAAACCCCTGAAAACTGCAGGAGTGCTGACTTCTGTGGGTGATGTACAGTTGTCTCCACCTCCTTCAGAAAACCTCTGAAGAGCATTCCTGTTTGATACGGGCAGTCTGTCACTAATTCAGGGTCTAGAAAAAACCAGCACTTGTGTGAAAGGACTGGCTTGGACCAAGGTGTGGTAGTGGAAAGGGCACAGAGCTTTTGAGCCATTTTTGTTTCAGCCTCTTTTTCAAGGGCCATCGGATGCAGCATTTGTTAGCAAAGGCTGTCTCTCCTGCGTGGATCAGCTGAGGGTCAGGAACACACGGCAATCTGATCTAGGTTGAGGTCAAACAGCAAGGACAGAAGATGAATCGCGAAGCCTTAAACTGACAGCAGGCTGGCCATCTCAGCTCTAAGTGACATGAGTCTGAATCGCATACGTCAGCTTGTAGTCACAAAACAGCTGCTGCGGGTTTTCTGTGTATGACCTGTCCAGGTATATGCCATCTGTCCTCTTCTGTCCGTTCCGTCCCCGTCCCCCTGTCATCGTTGTCTCCATCCCCGTTTCCATCCTCCCCATCCCCCCATTACCATTTGCTTCACAAATTCCTTTTAGGAATTTTGTTGCAAAGTTATTCCATCAGTCAGTTGGATATTTCAGAACAGCCACCCTGCCCCTGAGACACCTTTATAACTACAAAACTATGTATCAACTGATTCGAAGATCCGGTAAGAAAAAACTAACAGTACAATGTATACTGTTAAGCAGGTATTCTTTATTGCGGCGCCGGGCACACGGGGGATTTCTCCTCCAAACGTGCGCGCCAGACACCCTGTTGCTTCAGGGGTAAATACAATCACACAGGTAATTATTCATTATATTTCTAGGAACTAATTAGCATATGTAAATATCTTTCACGCATGTCTGTTAGTATCTTTGGGTGGTCTTCGGGGGTCCCAAGATGAAGGCCCATCCTCTTCATCACGCTGTTCACTGATTGACATTTGTTTCTGCGCAAACTCAGTTCTAGCATCACGTATACCGTGTCCTTCAGGTTGTTTTGCTCCAGTCTTGTTGCTCTCTTGGTGCCTCCTTATCTCTGTAGCTTAGCGCATTTGCCCTCCCAAGGCTGAGCTGTCTGGAGTAGAGTTATTTAGGAGTCTCTTTTATCCCACAATTATCCCAATTATTTGCTGAAAATCAAGACCACTTTTGTTTCACTTAATTATTTTGTCTAACGACTAAGTGATAGCTTGTGCCCATGTCCTTCCACTACATTCCTTAATGAGAAAACAGGGATTAGTGTAACAGTTATATTGTTAGATCACTATGCATGCAGAAATACAAGTTACAGTACTAAAGACTACTAAAAACTAGAAAATATTAAGGCTTTTTGTTATAGTTTCACATTTCTTACAATCCCCTCTATCACAACGTCTTGGAAATTCAGGGACCTTAGCAGTGGAACCTGAGGGAGATATTGCTATTCCCTAAAAAGGCAGGCAATTGAACTTCTCCTTAAGACACTAAATTCAAAGCATCTTTTAGGACTTTGGGGGCTGAGCTCAGCTATATTTGAATGTATAGTTTTGGCCATATAGATTAAAATTTCTCCATCACCCTCTCACAATTTTGTACATGTTCATTTTTAAGTTAATAAGGAAACAGGTTGACCTCCCATGCTACTCTAACAGTAGCAGAGTAGTAGCATATGATCTAAGCCTGGTTGTCTTTGGAGCAAAACCCCCTGGGCATTCATATCCTGCTGGTGGGGATTCTGCAGAATGTGACCAGGAAGAAAAGGCCTTTGTAAGATTCAAATAATTATAAAGGGATTTATACCTTCACTGGGAAGGAAAAATGAACTCAAAAAGCATCATTTAAAATTATTTCAGATGGAGAGTTTAGGACAAAACTGTAACAAGCATCCAGCAGTATTTTTGACAATCTGTACTGGAACTAGATATTATGCAATTCAATTAATGCCATCTTATATGTTAATCAAAACCAGCTACGTGTGAACAGCAGAAAGAAAACTGGAGAGGAACCTTTCAGATCTGACTTCAGAGTTCTTGCCTAGCTTAGTTTATATTTCTGTTGAACAGTTTCTTGCAGCTCTATTTATAGCTGCAGCTTCAGCTGAGCTGCTTTTTATAAATAGGCTTGCTATCTCTTGGTGCTTGGACTAAACTACAAAAAAGCAGTTGCACAGTGGCAACCGTGTCTCTGCGTAGGAAGTTGATGGAAGGCAGCTGTTGGATTTTCAATTCCACTGCTCGCTACACTGTGCTAATTTGGCCCATGCTACAGAAGGAAGAGGACCCTAATTGGTAGAGGGACGTTATTAGACAAGCAGATGGAAATTGTCAGGAATGATTAAAAAAACCACACACCCAAGTCTGTAGAGCATAAATACCTCCACACAGCACTTGCAAAGAAGCAAGAAGCTTACATTATTCAGTGTGTTAGCAATGGGATAGGGACAGCTATATAATAGGCATACGTCAGTAGACCTTAATTGTTGCATGGATCTGAGATGACCAAAAGAATTGATTGTGAAGATCTATGGTATCCTGAATGTTGGGGTGGTTTTTTAAATAACTCTTGGATGTTCAGGAAAAATAAGATGCCTGGAAGAGCGCTGTTGTGAAAATGCTTGCCAAAAGATACCAGTAACAATAATAAGAATAGCAATGCTCTACCTGTGGCTGTCATACTGTGGTTGGAGAAAGGAACAGCAAATTCAAGTGAGCTGGTCGCAGATCCGCCAAGCGGCACAGTACGAAGCAGCACAGGCATCATTACATGCGTGTATCAAAACAGGATAACCGCGAGGTGAATACTGAAGCCAGGAGCCTGGTGCCACCACAGCAGAGCAGTGCTGGAGTCAGCATGTGGTCAGGGATTCGCGCCGGGGAGACGCCTGCTCTCAGTGCCCCCGACATGGGTGTCTGCGTGCGAGAGGTATTTCCAGCGGCGCGGCTTGACATGGCCGAACACCTCGTCGAAACCTGCGCCCGCACGGGCGAGGAGGCCAAAGAGGCCCCAAGTTCCCCAAGACTCGAGATCCTCGCCCTGCCGGGAACTCCCTGCGGCGGCGTGGTTCTATTCAGCCTCTCCACCTAACAGGGGATTTCTGGACTAGTGCGAAGAGCCACGGGAGAAGCTCGGCCAGGCTTTGCTCTAACCTCCTCCCGCAGCTCCCGAGGACGTGCGGGGTGAGGAAGCCGGCCG